ACGAGGTACTTGCCGTATCTGACAAAGAATGCCAAAATAAACTGGAGCAGATAACTGGAGATATGGTCAAAGCTTTTCATTATGGTCAAGGTAATTATACAATACTAATAATTATTTTTATTTAGATCTTCTTCATATAAAGTTGACGTACACATAGTAGAAATCAGTGATGTATATATTAGGACCACAACCATGTACTAGTGTATCAGCTGGCTGGAAATCTTATTGAAAATCTTTCGTTTAACAGAGGTCAAAAATACTCCTTTGCGCTTTTCCAAACGATTAGCACTCAGAAGTGCTAGAGAACGTGCAAGGAAGTCAACTGCCAAAATTCTTGATGAATCTTACCAAGAAGGGCCACCTAGCTATGCACCACCACCCCCACCTCTGCCACCACCACCGTCACTGCCACCACCCCCGCCACCGCCACCGCCACCGTCACCGTCACTGCCAACTGATGCGGTCCATCTATCTGTACCTGTACCTGAGAAACAAGATGGAAGATTGTCTACACCACTCAAGGATAGTACAAATGAAGTAAGCACATAAACTAAAAATGTCATTTATTGAATCATTAGGAATTAGATATCGTATTAACGCTATTGGAAGCACATCTGCAATAAGTGTATCAAAACCAACAGTTACATGTGTTGTATATCTGATCATTAAAGCGCGGTAGATGACGACTTTGACTGTTGCGCAGATCAACGAGTACGAACAGACATGTTACCAAGCTTTAATTAGGTAATTTTCATGTGATTGGAAGGTATCGAAGAAGTCACCGGCGATAATCAGTGCAAGTCGCGCCCAGGTCAAACCTCATACTTGTGATTTCCATTTGAAGAGCTCACTGGATTGTGGGAAAATCAATGTTTATCAACACAAATGTCGAACATGCGCAGCGCGATGACTATCACGCTTTAAGAATTAGGTAGCGCATATGTGCTATTAGAAGGGCATCTCCAAAAAAAGTGTATGTAAACCAACAGTTGCATGTAGTGTATATTTGATGATATTACTGGTTTTGATCATAGACATACCTACATCATTTACATAAGTGTATGTGCTACCTATAGAAAAATAGATAGACACATGTAGGTTCTTTAAATGTAATTTATTCAGAAACTTTTGTCCCATATGGTCTTTGGTAATTGAGACTGAATATATCGCTTACTTCTTTAAAGTTATTTAAATTTTTTTTTTTATTATTTTGTATAGAATTTGAGCAAACAGAACAACAGAAAGAGAAAAAGTATTGAAGTAATGCCCAGTAATGAAAAGAAAGCTGTTAGGTATGTATTAGCCCAAAATATTTGTCTTCTAAAGTATGTTGCACTGGTAAGGCAATATTTATGTATCTGGTCATTGCATGAAACAGTAATAAATGTGCGAGTCGTAGCTTTATAGTCCCAAGTCCACCTCAGTGCATTTGCCTGTCTGTGCATTAGTCTGCATATGTGTCTCAGACGTGCCTTGATTGATGTTTACCAAACTTCACGCATATAGCAAGTGACATATTATGCACATGCATTTGTTTCACAATCCAATTCAAGATGGCTGAATGGTGGACAAGCTGAATATTCATTTTGCCATACTGGATTTCAATTGTGCATCAACAGATTTTGTTCAAACTTGTTACATTCATAGAACATCATGAAACAAAAAATCGAAATAAAATTGACTAGAAAATATTTTCTCTTCCAAACCTTAACAAATGTACAATTCCATTAATGGACATCAATGTTTTCACTAATGGGTATACAAGAATTTAATGTTCATTCTTGCCTTCAGCAGTGCTCATCTTCCTATAACAAAACTGCATGATGAGATAGTTAAATTTGGTTTCCATAATCTAAAGTCCACAGATCAACAAAGGTAAGTAGATCAAACAAAAATATGTTCATAACCTTTCACAATAAACCCAGATGAAATCTACCATATTTTGTCAACAGTCATGTGAGAAGGCAATTGGAATTGTATCCATTTGATTAAAAATTAACAAAGCAACTTTTGCAAAATGTTGTTATTACACCAGCAATTTGGTTAAAATAAATATGAAAAGTATGAAAATCGAAATGAAACGTGTATATGAAAGTTCGTAGAAGTGACTTCAGCTTTTTCAAAATGTTGTTGACACCATTAAAAATTAACAAATATCAGAAATTCAACGCTTTACAGTAAGATTCAGTCAACAAAAGGATGTGTATATTTTATGCATGCAAAGTTACTTTGTGTCGCATGTTCTACGCCTGAAAGTATTAACGCTATTTGAAGTGCATCTGCAATAAGTGTACTAAAACCAACAGTTAAATTTATTGTATATCTGATCATTGTATTTCTGATCATCTGAAGGTATAAAAATTGTGTTGTTTGCTGCTATTCAAGATAAAAGTACGTGTTTCAGACATAAATAAAAAAAAAGGACATTATTATCCTAGTAGATCTCAGACTAGTGCTGATCTGTCAATGTCATTGTTGTGAAACAAATATGTGTGTGCATGAAAGATCTGTATGAAATTCAATGTTGTTTCTTCTTCTCTTTTTTTTAGATCACCGGGTGGAACACCAATGAAGAAGCATGGTTCGAAGAGGAAACTGTCATCTAATGATTGCAAGGCTGTATCAAGTCCATTGTCTGTTTTTAATTTACAAATTATCGAAAAATTCCGAAATACAAGAAGTCCTAACATGTCAAATTTATCAAGTCCAAATAGTGCTTTTAACAGTCCTAGTGCTTTTAACTCCCCTGTTTAAAAAATATGTTAACGTATTTGTTCTATTAGGTGCACATACTGTAAAGTGCTTTAATTTCCCTTGGAATTTATTTCCATGGAAGGAATGAATCACTGAAAATAAAATTCAGTTCAAATAAACTTCATTTTATTTAACTGCCAAATTGTCTTTTAGGCGAAAATTAATTTCAGCGAAAATAAAATATTTTACAGTAAACAAAATATTGCGTTTATCATACATGTTTTTGCTTATATTAATTATGTCCATGTGCTTTAATACGTAAATGACACAAGTGTGTGTTTTAAAATTAAATGAACGTCTGTTTTTACCTTCATGATGTTTCTAAAATTCTATCAAGTTATGATTGAAGTGAAATGCATTAATGTGCTTATTGAAGTCAGTGGATCACTATTCATTGAATAGATACAAAAGGCACTATTTATTAAAATTTAACAATTTGTCAGTAATTCAGGAAAAATTTAATACACATCATGTCAATGGTGAATATATCCTGAAATGTGTCATGGTCTCCCAACCGAATCTATCATAGAATGTGGTTCAAATTGGGTACCAATAGTGGAAGATCTTTCATCCCTCTTCAAAAGTTCAGAAATGCTAATCGACATATTAAAGGGCGGCAGTAGTCGAGCTGCGCATATGCGACAGTTGTGTTGATAACCATTGATATTCCCACAATGCACTCTTCTAATGGAAATCACAAGGTGCGATTTGCATTAATTACTAAAAAAACATAATTAGAGCTTGGTAATGTCTGTTTGTACTTGTTCTGCGCAACAGTCAAAGAAGCCATCTTTGTTTATACGAGACACGTATATCTCGCGCATGCGTGGCGCGATGACTACCACCCTTTTGTATAAGCATGGGTATTACTAATATTCATATGATAAAATTGAATATTTTTTATTTAATTTTTAAAAGTTCGAAAGCTTTATACTAATCTACATATACACAAAATAAAACTCAGTTCTGCTAATTTACATATATAAAGCAACTAATTTTTTTTTTTTTTAAATGGTGGATGTATACTAATTTTTGGAGTTAAAATGAATGCATTATCTGGTCTTGAGTGGTTTGAATGTAAATACATGTGGAAATTTTATGAAAATAGTGGATTTATGGCTTGATACAGTGAAATAAATGTTGTAAACGCATGTTTGCACATACCATGCTGTTCAGTGTGTCTTCTACAGGACTGATTTTATAGGGATCCAGAGTTAAAATGAAATCCTCATTTCAACTTGGGGTATCTTGTTGGCTGCTGGGCTAATAGGTCTTCTAAAGTACCGGGTAATCTGATTATAATCTGATGTAGTTATAGGCTCCATATTGTAATGTTTACATTTTTTTTTTACCAGATAGCCTTTTTGTATTCTGACAGGATTTTTAATTTTGTAATGTTAGTGTTGTGAAAATTGTTATTGAAAAATTTACTGAATTAAACAAACTTTTTACTGAGATGTACAATGATTGATTATTGGTTGCAGTGAGCACCATAAACTGATGAAGACAACTACTGTACTATTGATCGTCCTTGCAACGTTGTAATGTTTCTTGTAACATTGCCACCCAGGGCATTGTTAACAATGTTTATGTTCAATCATTCGAAATAAACTACCCTCATTATTTGCACATAGAAAGTTCCACTATATTAAAGAGGCCAGATCGGATTTAAAATGAAATGAAATTGTTGAATATTAATTCATTGTTCAAATGTAGAATACCCATAGAATTCACCAATAGTTCACCAATTTTATATCGCTCAAAATCTGACTTCATTTGAATCCAAATCCATAAATAACATTTAAAAATGGTTGTGTCCAGGAATGTTTGCTTGTTGGAACTGAATCGCTAAAATCAAAAACAATATTGAAAATGAACCGATGAATATTGCAAGAGATTGATAGGGAGATTTTCCTACTCAGTTTATTTCTGCACTTACTGCAGGAGTATTTGTCACTATATTTAAGTTTTCGATATTGTTTTTCTTTGATGAAAATACATTTTTATTGAAAATTATGTTTTTATAAATAAAAATACATTCAAATATTTACTTTTTTTTCAATTTGACTGATGCGTGATACAAAAGAATACCAATAGATTTATGTTAGATTTTATCCAGATTTTTTCGGTGGGTCAAAATATTATTCTAAAATGTTGAAGGCTGATTAACCTTTGAATACAATGCATTTTTCCTGCCAAAATTATTGAGTATTTTTCTATAAAATCTTTTGTTAATTTTGAACCATATGTTTGGACATAATTTAATAAATTTAGCATTGCTGAAAGGTAATTCAGCCAATTGT